GTAAATATCAATCAATATTACAATATCGGTTTCAAATTCTAGGGGCCGCGACGTCAGCCAGATCGATTGAGGAATATCAATTTTGGAGAAAATCGGCTGATCGATTTAACCGCTAGCATTGTTGACAAATCGACGGACGGGCCGACGTTTTGCCATCATTCGATTTTTCGGTATCAATGACGCACACGAAAACATGGATTCTGGCTACATCATGTGTTAGAGGATTTTTCTAAATTTAGCAACTGGATTTATCCACTTTTTCTTACAAAGGCTCTGTAATAGCTTTTTTCCACGAAAATCCGCATTTTTTTCGCGTAGTATTAAACAACTTTCTCTGTACTGCGTAAACGGTAGCGAGAAAGTAAAAACTGTGATTGTAATGTTAATTTTTTGTATATTGGTGATTTGTAATTTTTTGCAGAATGAAACCTAATTCGGCTAATTTCAATTAAGATTATAATATTGACGCTATATCACGCAACGGTCTTGTAACACCGCTGCAAACAAAGCACGGGATTGACGAATTTAGTACTATGATTTTTTTTTTGATTTTTCAATTTTCGAAAGCCCAGAGAGTGCGATGAAAATGGAACCAGCACCACTTTCTTAGTTCTTTGCTACATTCGTGGTAACTGGTGGTGCAACTACAGCACTTATTTTCTCGGAATATTACAATGCTATCATTATGTACGAAGGCACGCCCTCATACGTTTCATTAATTTCAAAATAAATTACGCGAAAACTACTATCTTTTACAAAAACTGACATTACCTCTTTTTTAAAGAGCTAAATTTGTACAACCGACTTTATCTGAGGGGAAAATCTCTCTTCAATTTTGTTGTTTTGAATTTTTTATTTTGCAATTACAAACAGGAGCAATATTCGAAGAAGGGACTAGCAACATTTTTTTAACGTTCTTTAATACATATGTGGAGAAAATTTAAAGCAACAATTTATGGCTGTTTATGAAGGAGGGGAATTGCGTAAATTTCAGGTGTAATTAAATCAAAAACTTTCTTCTTTTCTTTTTTTAAGAGCTAATTTTGTACAACGGACTTTCTTTGAGGCAAAAATTCTATATTGCAGTTTTCATTGTTTTTAATTTTCGAAAAATTAGGGATTTCAATAAAAATAAAACCTAATCTATTCTCTTAAACGTTCAACAAACTACTCAACAAAATTCAATAAAAAAAAATATGGAGTCTTTTTAATTTTGAAAGGGTTATGAAAGGAGCTTCATGAAAAAGTACTCCCCAAAATTAAAATGTTATCAAATCGTAGGGGCCGCGATATCAATTTTGGAGAAAACGGCTGAACGGTTTATGCGCTAGCTTGCACAGACAGACGTTTTGCCGCCAATAGATTTTCGGTATGAAGGACGCACAAAACATGGATTCTGGCTACACCACGTGTTAAGAGGACTTTTCTAGACTAGAAACAGTTTGTATCGACTTTTTTCGTTACCAGGGCTCGGTGTTTTTCTGAATGCTTAGCATACTACTATATAAACAAGCAAAAGTGTTTGCAATCTGCAATTTTGTTCTCGAATGAGTTTCGAATGCAGAACTTCGGAGTTAACGTGTCGGCACTCAAACAACCACGTCACAAAAGTGATGTATGGTTCGAACTCGGGCAAAAGCATAAAAAGGTAAAAGCCCGATTCATGTAAAACATCCTACAACAATCAAAATATCCGTTAGAAACTTCCAACGCCTCTAGTCCATTTAGATCAATCCGGGAATATAGTTTCAAAGAAAATCGGCTGAACGATTTAGGCGCTAGCGTTGACTACAGACAAAAAACGGACAGACTGTCGTTTTGTCGTCAATCGATGTTTCAGTATTAAGAACCAACAACACATGGATTCTGGCTACACAAAGAGTTAGATGTTTTTTTTCTAAATTTAGCAACAGTATTTATTTACTTCGTTACCACAACCCGGGAATAAGTTTTCTTTCTGGCGAAATTTCGACCTTTTCTGGCGCATGATTACATAACTTTTTCGTCTTACCAAGAATTTGTAAGGTGAGAAAGTAGTAGTAGTAGTAGTAGTAGTAGTAGTAGTCGTAGTCGTAGTAGTAGTAGTAGTCGTAGTAGTCGTAGTAGTCGTAGTAGTCGTAGTAGTCGTAGTAGTCGTAGTCGTAGTCGTAGTCGTAGTCGTAGTCGTAGTCGTAGTCGTAGTCGTAGTCGTAGTTGGCTGCATGGGTACTGGTTATATTATATTTAAATTTAATGTTGATATATTAATTATTTTATTTAAAGTGGTTAATATATACATGCACCGAAAAACGAACAATTGATTTGATGGTACGTACGTTTTAAAAATCCAACAAGAGTTTTGAAAAAAATGTTTAAAAGTTGAAAATGGAGAAAATAACACTTCCAGTTTATCTTAATTCTTTTTGTGATTAGGATTGCTTCAAACGGTTTTCAATAAAGTTTCTGGAATTCTCAATTATTTTCTGCTGCACGGCGAATTGTGACATAGTATTCCCGACCCAAGACTGGAAACGGCGAACTTCTCCGAAGAGCTGAGTCCGTTCCCCGCGTATTCGCCACCTTGGCCACCCTGGTAGTACTTGGATTTTATACTTGTATAATAAGAGTATGCTGGTTTCAGTTCTAGCATTAAAAATCGAGAAAATGTTAAAAAATGTCCTTTGGGCGGCCAAAGAGGTATCTGGGAAGAGAATAAGGCACAACCGAAATCCTATTACAGACTTAAAAGATTAGAAGTCCAACTACTGCGAGAAAGTATGTGCCATTCTATTGTACCACTAGTTTATTTATTTATTTAAATAGCTAATTTTGTACAATAAACTTTGTCTGAACAAACTTGGTCGCAAAAATCAAACTGGTAGTTTTGAAATGTTTTTCCGAAATTTCCGAAGAAAACGAGCAATACCGGAAAGTGGAACTTTTTTTTTTTCCCTCCCCTCCCTCGGAAAAAATCGGAGATATCCGGAGCTGGACGCATGGACGGAGTAAAGGATATTCAATTGCAGAAGTAGTGTGAGTTAATGATATTACAACTAGCATTATGAGATGTTTAAAACTGACTCATGAAGTTTTTTTTCTGCTGTCTTCACTCATTGATTACAGTCTTCTGCTTTTTTCGTGAAACAAAAATAAAACTTGATGCTCGGAATTTTCATTGTCCATTGTGGTATTTCAAAAAAAATACTTTTGTACTTAAAGATGTAATACAGTGACTGCTGTGAATGAAGGTTTAACTATTCTGCACCCTTTTGTGCTAAACGTTTGTACTAAAAGCAAAGAATTTATAAATGGATTTTTTTTTTTTTTTTTTTTTGGATGCCTTAAACATGATCGACACAAATTCAATTCACCAATGTCAGTGTAAACTCATAACACTTCTCAAGTAAGTTTATGACAGTGTTAACAGACTTTCGAATGTAGTCAGTGCCTAGTATTACGAAACAATTAAATGTATGCTTCCAAAATAATGTCTCAATGCGAGTGCTAAATGGCATTTCATTGCTTCTCAACATTTATTGAAAGGGTTCGAGTGAGGGGAGGGTCAACAATAATATTCTTCATAATAGCTAGCCTTCAATTCTGACAGGAACCTATTAATTTACCCAGGAAGTTATTTAAGTGGGTTGTTGATAATGTTAAGAATATTACCTTTATATTTATAGCAACATTGAATATTTAGAAAGAGGACTATTTCAACAATGATATAGTAAAAAAAAAAGAAGGCGTAAAGATAATACATAGTTTCATTTCTTTAAGTAAAGGTCAATTAACAATATTCTCTGTAAAGTGAATTAGAAGAAGAATCAATTTAATTAATTGCATCACATACTCTTATTCATATAAATATTCCGTCCCTTTAATACTAAATTGAATCAGTTTCACACTTTTTAATTTGAATATAATCGGCAATAAAGGTCATATGTATATATCTGGCACATGGTAAGATGTGAAGGGATGCTTCTCTTAATTGCTCTGTGAAAGTATATTGATGGTAATCGTCTACTGCTGATTGGCACGTGATTGTGGGATTAAGTTCTAGCAGACACAGCAGCTAAACAGCAAGTAGACTGTTGTATTTAATTTCTCAGATTCATCTCGGTGTCCCACTTGTGTAGAACTTTCTAGAAATTACAATGGTATATTTTTCAAATTTTTAAACTCTTGATTTTTAGAAGAAAATAAAAATAAAATAGGTCAAAAAAGAATTAAATAATTTAATTGATTCAAAACGTACATTAAATGAAAGATGTTCACCTTTTGTTCTTTAAAGTCACCAAATATTGAAATTTCTGTTACAATTACAATACCTGTTAAAAATGATTAACTTAAGCAATGCGAGACTTTTATACTCGCAAACTTGCACTCGGAAAGTTATGTTTGGGAAAAAATGAAAAACATATGTTTCATATTTTTCCTTATGCTCTTCACAGAAGAAAAAGTTCAAAATTTGAGGCATAGAGGTATCATTTTCCTTAAATTTGTGCAATTTGATGTGGAACGACCCATGTACGTACATATATGAGAAAGTTAAAAATAGCTTTGTTCAAAATATTAAAAGGTTCTATTTCCTGTGGTAAATTTTGTTTAAATTACTGTCCTTCAAGAGACAGGCATATTATTAAAACTGACAGGAATTTTGCAGAATTTGATATCTTTTTTTCTTTAATTTTAATGGCCACCCAATCATCAGATTTTTAAATGTAATATGTTTATAATATTGTTCTAGCTGCAATTTTGAAATTTAATGTCTTTATTCATGAACAAATGAAAATGCTCTGTTGTGATTTAATAAAGTCTGAGTGTAATATACTTTTTAAATAAACATTAAACTGATGGATATCTGTGTGGATCCATGTGATTTCTTGTTATTGCATTAATGATTGAAATAACCTCTGCATTCGAAGGTTGATTAAAAATAGGATACTCACATTTCAATATTTGTAAATTGGTCTTGTAATATCTGAAAACTGTCACTAAATAAATCTATATTTTTCAAACAGGGAAGTTTTAAGAGCTTCTAATGTTCCCATGGACTATATATCATTGTCATTGCTGATGTGGAATTTTGGTGTGGTGGGTATGATTTGCATACATTGGCAAGGACCACTGCGGTTGCAACAAGCCTATCTTATCTTTGTTGCTGCTCTTATGGCTTTAGTTTTCATCAAATACTTGCCAGAATGGACAACATGGGTGGTATTGGCAGTTATATCTGTTTGGGGTATGTAATCACAATGCAGTGTGTTTCACTAGAGCCATATTGTTTTTTTGTTTTTTTTTATGAAATGTTTTTTCAGATCTGGTTGCTGTTCTCACTCCAAAGGGTCCTTTGCGCATATTAGTGGAGACTGCTCAGGAAAGGAATGAACAGATTTTCCCAGCCCTCATATATTCATGTAAGATTAATACTTTAAAAATGACAAGTCTAAAAAGTCAAGATGTGTGAAGAAATAAGAAAAAAAAATAGTCTATTAGTTTTTATGAAAATTTCATAAGATTTCACAATACAATATAATTAGCTGGTCTTTGACCACAAAACCCACTCATTTAACCCACATTGGCATTTAAAAACATTTTGACCTCAATAATTTCAAAAGTATTGGTATCAAAAAAAAGATGATTTAACTTTCTGTCTGAGCAAGTAAAATAAATGTATTTCTTTCTTTCAGAGTATTTAAGTACACTCACAAACAATGACACACAAAATACAAAGAAAGTGGATTAATTAAAATAAATTTTAATTAAAAATCATTTTTCACAATATCGGCCTTTAGTAATAATTAATTAAGTAAGCGTTAACAAATTTACATGTACCATTGCATTTCTGGAATAATGTTTCAACTTAAAGAAAATAAAAATTGAGATATTAGAGAAAGAAGATTTTAAAAGAAATTACATTTTTAATGTGAAAATCTTTAACTCTAACATTATACCAATTGCTGCTTAGTAGCAGGTGCATCATTATTTCATTGATGGGGATTGCCATTTATTTTTATGGAATAATGTCTGAAAATTCAGAGTATATTAAAATATATTTTGATAAAATAAAGAAAACCCAGAGACATAAACTTTTTGTGGGGGGAGAGGGTATCTTGAATATTGTTGATTAATGAAAAGAAGAGAAATTAAATTGCACTCCCCTGTTCAAAACAGAATTTTTGTGGGTCAATAGTATTCAGAAAAAGAGACATTACAAGATTCAGAATTGTTCACAGTGAAGCAAGAGGAATAAATTTTCACTGCAAATTTGCAAATGTTTTGTGGAGATTGATAGAATTTCAAAATCAATTTCCTTGTACAAAATAGGACAATCAAAACCGATATTTTTGTGAGAAGGAAGCATCATTGTGGACATACATTTTTAGCAATGGAAAATATAAAGCTGTGGCAATTTTGCCACAACCACGAGTAATGAATTGGTCAAGAACTTCCAGTTACAAGAAAACAATTCTTTAAAATTTTACTAGATTGTGTCCACGTTTTTAACAACAATGTTTTTGTTTCTGATATTATCGTGCTTACTAAATACATGTTGAAAAAGGATGAACAAATGAACAATGCAAACATAAGAAGGGATCTAAATAGAATAACATACTTTTAAAGGAAAGAAGGTAAAGACACTGGTAATAACAACTCGCTCCAAGAATGTGCTTTAAAATAAATGAAGTTAAAGATTTTGTTAAATTTTTGTACTCAATATCTTTTGGTAGGTAGGAGATAAAGTGGGAGTCCAAGAAATATGATTTGTCCAAAAATGAAAATAATATGAATGTTACGGCAGAAGAGTGAGTCTTCTCTGGATATAGTGATCCTCTCTGGTTATAATGTTTTGTCAGGGAAAAAAAGGTACTGGGATACCAAGCCAGCCAGACATGAAGAATAAATTAGTATCTGAATGTATGCAAAGGGACAGATTTTTATTCATTGCCAAATACTTTCACGTTGCTGATAATTCTGATTTTGACAATAATGATCACCCACTCAGGAATCTTCTCAAGAAACGTTTTATTGATAAGTTTCGTGAATGTTAATTTCTTGATTACGACATCCATGGTGAAGTACTTTGTCCCACATCCTTGCAAGCAGTTCATTCATGGTAAACCCATAAGGTACAAAATATGGTGCCTGAATACATTCTATGAATACTTGATAAATTTTTGTCTATCAAGGAAAAAATACACCTGTGACAAACTGTGAATACGAAAAGATTTTTGGTAAAGCCACTGCCCCCTTGATTTCATTTTTAGATAAACTGCCAGATCATAAAAGAAGTTATCCTTACCATATAATTTCAGACAACTTATTCACCAACTTCAACCGTCTCAAGCATTTGAAAGAACACGGTTACTCAGGGACTGGAACTATTAGGAAAAACAAGATTCCTAAAGATTGCCTGTTACCATCGCATAAACAAATGATGAAGATAGAACGTGAAATACTTCGAAACACAATAGAAAAAATTATGGAATTCTTGTTGGGAAATGAATGAACAATAATGTGGTTGCTGTTGCATCAAATTCGCTCGAAGAATCTCCAATCAAGCATGTTGAGAGATATTCTTCAAAAGAAAAACACATACAACAGAAATATGAGTGGTTCAGATCGAATGGAGCAAGACTTAAATCAGTCCCGTATATCAATCAGAAGGAAGAAATGGTACTGGGCAATATTACCATGGCTTATAGATGCCACAATTATTAATGCTTGGCTAATTTTCAAGAAGACTGGAAAAAAGAGCACTAAGCAATATCTTTTCTGAATTCCAGCTATCTCATACCTCACAAGATACAAAATGTTTGTCAAATCTGTGGGTCCAACAGCTCTGTCGTTGAACAGGTCAACACGAGTTTTAGACGTCATTCGCTATGACAGAGCTGACCATCTACTTGGGGAAGTAGAAAATAAAAAGGAGAAGGTGTGCTAATGATGGATGCAAAAGTGTTGTTGCTTCAGTGTGCACAAAATGTGATGTAAGTTTATGCTTGAAATGCAATGTATCATTTCATACCAAAAAATGAACACTAATTTTCTGCATTGTAGGCTTTCACGGCCGGAGTCAATATTCTTCATGTCTTCCGGGCTGATGGGCCGTGGTCCAATTGGCTCTGAGATGCCAAACATTTCGCCCACGACTGCGGTGGGCATCTTCAGTGGTAAGGTCTCGGGCGAAGTGTCCGTCGCCAGTCAGTCGCCTGGTCAGTCGCCAGTCAGCCACCGTCCCGGACACTTCGCCCGAGACCTCGCCACTGAAGATGCCCGCCGCAGTCGTGGGCGAAACATTTGGCATCTCAGAGCCAATTGGACCACGGCCCATCAGCTCGGAAGACATGAAGAATACTAATTTTCTGCTTTGAAATCACTTTTTTCAAAGAACTAAACAAGAAAGTGTAATATGTTTACTAATGATATTGTAGTCTTTGACTAGTCATTTAACCGTATGTGTTAAAAATTAAAAATAAATGCTCTCCTCGATAAATATTTTCTCTCTTTCAACCCAGCACAATTATCACCCTCAAAGGACGAGTGTGACATATACGTCACACCCTCCCACTCCTCACTGAATCATAGAATAAAAAAAAATTTTGGGGGGGGATTAAACTAAAGTAGTTAAATTAAAAAAATGTAATGAGTTTTAATTTTTTTGAAAAAAATAATTCTCGTCCTAAGGTGGTTAAAAGTGTGAGAGATCTTTCAAAAAAATTACATTTGTGTAATATTTGAAAAAAACAAAAATTTCCTCAAAATGAACCTTACAGCATATTAAAGACTGCAATTAGCCCTATCCTTTCGAAAAGTTGGAAGAAATAGTTTGAGAAAATGGTGTTTGGGCGTTTCTGGAAATGCAAAATTGTGATCTTGTTTTGATAGAAAACTTTCGTTTTCTAGAAGCTTTGTATGACATTATTTAAAGCACATGTACCCATAAATAATGTGAACAAATTGCTGCCAACGTTAATAATACAATGAGTAAAAAAAAATAATTTTGGTAATTTTTAATAATACAAAGGAATAAAGCAATATGCCATTAATGTCATCTTATAGTGTGTGTTTAGCACAATCCCTGCCAGAATTTTAAAGAAAAAAATGTTAAGCCTTTTTAATTTTTGTGAATTGAACAAATTTTACCTTACCATGACCCTACCCTACCCTACCTGACCTTAATGAAAGAACAAATTGTGGAGAACAAACTTTATTTCAAAGGAAATCTTGTTGAAATTTAGTTTTTTAGTTGTAGGAAGACCTCTGAAAATAATTCAAACTTTTGAAATTTTCTAAAATTCAGAGTTAACCACAGAAATCGGACCTATATCAACTTTATAACTGTATTTTACTCTATTCTTAAAAGAAATTTAATGAAAAAATTTTGAACCATTTGTAAGAAAATTGTGAAAATGTCCTGGGGATGTGATGTAAAGTACCTCCAAAATACTAATGAATAATTTTCAAAATTGCAGTGCTTAGACTCAAGCCAAATGGCTTGGGGTTTTCATCAATTTGGAAATAATCCTGCGCAGGGTTTAGGCGCTATCATTGTTCATAGAAACCATACGGACATTTTGGACAACCCACTTTTTCGGTATTAGGGGAACCCAAAAAGTGTATTTCTGTTGAAGTCTCAAAATTGATCTTCCGCAACATTACATAAATTTCCTTATACGAAGTATATTACTCAGTACATATGTATGTGTATGGGAAAGTAATAACAAGAATGTGACAGTGATGACTAAACACTTTCTGGAAAACACCGGGAAAAAAGCTCTGACGTTAAAAATGTTGATTGTGTTTGTAGAATTCGTGCTAACAATTATTTCAATATATATAATTAATAATTTATAATTAAATTATTTTTAAGAAATTTTATTAATTATAACAATAATTTTTAAATCACAATTTTGTGTTAATTACGTCATTTTAAGTCATAAATTAACAAATTACAAGATTACAAGATACATACTTTAATAAAATTTAATGCACTATTGTCCTACTGCCAAGCCACAGTGCGCTTTATTGTAACCCATGAAAGGTAATTAGTGCAAAGTGAAGTCTCTTAAATCCTTATTGTCCACGATTATAGTGCGCTTAGGGCCCACGCTCTACTGGTGTCAACACCACCTTCCGTGTAAAACTAGGTTAAGTTTAGATTTACTACAGAATATTTTCTAGTAAATCCAGAAATTCAAAATCATTGTGTGCATGATAAAACCTGTTGTCCTGCATGGCTCCACTCCCCCTCCCTGTTTCAGAGTAGTCGGGCAAACTGCCGAAATCAACAATATGAGGGAGTTGGGTGTCAGACAATATTTGTGTGTGTGAATATGTGTGAACAATATTTGTGTGTGTGAATATGTGTGAACAATATCTGTGTGTGTGAATATGTGTGAACAATATTTGTGTGAAATTGAATGTGTGAACAATATTAATGTAATGAAAGTATGTCCCGCAACCGTATAAAAGGTTTTAGGTGTGGCGTTGGACACCTCTGGCTTAATGTATTTGAAAATTCTTGCTTGGTATAAACTATAATGTCGCCTATAAACTATAAGCCCTCTAAACATTATGCATATAAGAGGGAATTCAAAAGGATTATTAAAAATGAAAATCGTAGTATTATTAAGTGTACTTTTCAGGTGTCATGTAATCTAGAGATCCTCTAATTTTTTGAGAACTGATTATTAAGTCTAGTTTCGAAAATAAAATATCCATTTTGAAAAAATGTTCCTACTTGCGTGTTGAAAACTGCAATTCATAGTAGGACAGATATTTTCCAAAACCAATCCAAGGAATACGGTAATTAAAACATTGCGTTAGTTTCAGCTCCAAGCTAGGCTTTGCAACTGACACATACTTTCTTATGCATTTCAGGACTCTGCATATTAATTACTATCATATACTTCCTAGAGAAAAATCTGAGTTTTCTTTAAAGCTTGTTTTTGTACAAAATTCTACTCTAGCACTCCGTTGCACAATAAAAGTGTGTGAGTAACATAATATGGTTAAGTAGTAAACAGAAAAAAATGTGTTGTAATGTGCGAAACAGAACCTGGAAAACTGGGGAAATTCTACATTCTTGACGGGTGCAGTGTTCTCTGGCTGTCAGAAATTTTCTATGCAGTGTTCTTTTTTTATAACATAACTTCAAAGAGAAATATTTTACGTTGTTTCTTCTATTGATATTTTGTTTCTGCATTTGTCATACCTTTCTGGATAAGAAATATTCTAATTACATATAATGGATGTTCCAATCCACAGCCACTTTTATGTATAGTTATATCAGTATGGCAAGTGGAGATGAAGCAGAAACGGAACGAAATGTACCCCAAGCTCAACAAGCTACACATTCTAGTCGTTCACAACCTCCTTTGGCAGCAGATGTACCAGGAAGTCCTGAAAGTATTGGTATGTAATAATTAAAAATTGACATAATCGTAGTAGCTTTAAGCTCTATGGGAAATGTCTCATTGCATGCAGAGACGAGTCTACAGCAATAAATATAAATTTAGGGTAAAAGAAAAGAAAATAACAGCCACACATTCTTGTAAGTAAACTGTTCTTGTAAATCAGATTCTGAAGGAGGATTTTCTCAAGAATGGGTATCATCTCACGAGGATAGAGCAAATCGTCGTCGTAGAGAAGTAAGAGAGTCTGGATCTAGCCACAGTGATCGAAGAGTTCAGTATCGTCATACATCTAATCAAATGCCTCCACAGCAAATGCATCCAGAACAAGAAGACGAAGAACGTATGTTCATTTTAATTTTGTATTTCAAGATCATACATAGAGGTTGAAATTTGCTAACCTATTTTAATGGGTTTAATGTACTAGGTGTAGCATACTTTTTTTTATTTGGTAAAATGATACTGTTTATTTCACAAAATAGTTTGCTCTCTTCAAAAAACTGATTTAACATAATGGCTATAATTTATTACTATGTCTGATGTCAATTGTCTTACAAGATTTTTTTTTATAAATTGCATTGTAAAAAAAAAACAATTAAAAAAATAAAAATCAAATTCTAGGTGGGGTTAAGTTGGGTCTCGGAGACTTTATATTCTACAGTGTTTTGGTGGGAAAAGCTTCTTCATACGGAGACTGGAATACAACACTAGCCTGCTTTGTAGCAATTTTAATTGTGAGTATTGTAATTGATACTTATACGGTAGTAGAAATTTTCTTATACTAATCCAGAAATGCTTTCTTTCCAGGGATTGTGTCTAACCTTGCTTCTTCTTGCTATATTCAAGAAAGCTCTGCCAGCTTTACCTATTTCTATTACATTTGGACTCATTTTCTACTTTGCTACAAGAGAGATTGTGAAGCCTTTTGCGGACAGTTTGGCCAGTGAACAGGTGTTTATTTAAATATATTTATATCAGTGACATTCAAAACTTGTTTTACAAAACTGTTCATGCTGATGAATAGCATTCACATAGTTATTGACTTGCACATCTTAATGGATTGTAGGAGTAAACAGACTAATTTTCTTTAAATTTTGTATGAGTAAAGTAGGCAAGTTATTCTGTGCTTTGCTAAGAAATATTTAGTATTATTATCAGTATAATATCTACATCCGTTATTAGAAAATTCATCTATGTGATTAAGGAAAGCATTTGATTTTTCCTTGTCCATGGAAAAAATTTAGATAATGTTTTTTATGCAAGTTTGTTGCTGTACTTACAAGCTTTTTATGCTGCTTAAATTAATAAGTCCATTCCTTGTTATATTTTGCAAAGTAACACTACACATTCTAGGACTTGAGGGAGAGTACTTAAATTTAAAGTCCTCTCTTATTTTGTACTGATAGTTATAAATGATAACAAAAAATACAAACTGTTTGTCATAATGTTTAATCCAACTAATTAATATACATAATATACAGATAATTTGAAATAAACATTTTATAATAACATTTGTCTTAAGAGTAATAAATTCTTGGTACTGAAAATGATAAAAACTTATCCTGGCTAACACCAGAATTTCCTCATTGAAGATTATTTTACCCAATCAGCCAGCACACAAAATATCCACCCAATCCACCTACAACACCCTTTAATCCCCTTCCATGAAGCATTTCCTTTGCAGATTTATGGAATGCATACAGATGTTTCAACAGCTACTGAGGGGTAGCAAACGTGTTATATTGAACCTGCAAAGGGAACAGAAGAATTACACATTGGTATTTAGAAAATTGATTATTGTATTTATAAGTACATGTGCTTTAAATAATGTCACATAATGTTTCTTGAAAACTCTGTGGTTTTCTGTCAAAACCAGCTCAAAATTCCGTATTTTCAGAAACATTTACACAATATTTTCCCAAAAACAGCTCCAAAGTTTTTCTTCATAGTTTTCAAAAACATAGTGCCAAATGCACTCTTTAATATGACGTACAGTTCATTTCAGAGTATTTTCTTGTTTCTCCAAAAGTTACGTTTGTGAGATAAAGTACTTAAAATGAAATTTTTCGAAAACTCAAAAACTTCCTGTGAAAAGGAGCTTCAAATTCCGAATTTACAGTACTACAATTTCTTAAGTAATTCAAATAATTTCTTTCAGGGTTCTGTACCTAGATGAATTACGCATCGTTAAATTACATACTTGGTCTTTTTCATTTTAAGAATATCATTGCCAAAATCAGTCCATTGAAACATTTCTGGCTGTGAATGTCTATTACTTACATGTACAAAGATAATGGAGAAAAATCCTGTTAAACTATTTACAAGCAATGTTTTCATGAGTATTCTTGTATTTAAATAAACTGAACAAGATACATGACTTAGATTTTGGCAACCAAGAGATTGCTTCCAAAGGAGAAATAATTGCCTTGTACACAGAGATTTTTCACTAATTTATGGTGCATATAAGAAAAAGAAGATAAACTAAAGTGGTGTTAGCAGTCGACTTATAACATGTGGAAATTATGGACATTCAACTCAACTGCAACATATAGCAATAAACCAGACTACATGCTGCAAATGGGACAAAACCATAAGGTATGAGGAGCAAAGAAAATTACCTCCTTTCTGAACCATTCTCTATTAAATCTTGTCAAATACAAGAAGTTATATTGTACACAAAAATATATCTTGAGGACTTACACAAAATCAAAATTATTTTGATTATCTCCACATAATCAGTTGATATCTAACAATTAACCAATCCGAGTTAAAGGATTAAAAAAGAAATTAAAATGAATCTGAACCAAATAACCGCATTTAGTTTGCGAGATATGTACGCAAACAAAAACCTTTTTTATAACAAAGCCATAAAAATAACATTTGCTTATTAGACAAAAAAATGACAATAGAGATAATTTTTTATGGAATTCAGCTCAAGGGGAACAGTGGAGTGGGGACATGTTTCTTTTAAGCAAATATTAAATGTATCAGTGAGTTCACAACAATTCTCGGTCATGAAGGACATTACAGTACTTGCATTAAAAATGTATCTGAAATGATTAACCACTAATATATCATATTGACAACTATTACGTAATATTATAATACTTTAACCCACAGAAATGTTTTCAACCTGCCAAGTATTAGGGACATGAACCTGGGCCCTTAGATTCCACAGGTGATGTTGCTCAGTTGGTTAAGACATCACCCATTCTGAAGAAATTGTAAAGAGTACTAGTCTAAATGCTTTGCTTTCACAATTTAGAAAATTAAAAAAACATGAATATTACTCACATTTCATAAAAAATTATGAAATAACTTAAATATCTAATATTGAGAAATATTTTGGATTAAGAAAGAAATATGTAGTGTCAATAAGTGTAGGTCAAACCTGAAAAACGTTAGGACTTTTTTATTGTATACATTCACATTTCAGAAAATTCTCTAAAAATTATGCAAAAATGCAACTTCACATTGTTTGATCAGACTTTTTTTTTTCCCCAATGATGTGAAATTGAAAACACCATTGGAAATTATTGTTTTTGGAATATTTGTTCATCTGTTATCTACTTATCTGTTAATATTATTCGTGAGAAACATGTACTTCCTACATGTGAAGTTTCATCTCTACCAAAAATCTGGCATAAATCTTTTCTTATACAGGCAGATTCAATTATATACCTTGATGTGATTAATTTTGTAGTGAAAGGGTACATCATTAAAGAGTTTCAATTAATATATTTAATGAAATACTGTTGTTATTGAATTGTAAGCAATGCTCAACTGAGCAAATATTTTGCTAAAGAACATGTCTTGCTCCGATAAATCAATTAAATTGCAGAAGACATTTAAAATTAAAATACAAAATACTATTAAGCTACTTCCTCTAAAGCAAATCACTTATAGTTTCTTCCAATTTACTGTTGCATACTTGCAGAGCTCATTAAAAGGTACATTGTGGGCAGAACACATTAAATACATTTTGAGATATTGTAGAAGAGTAAGGATATATGCTTATTACCTGTGGCCTTGAATAACTGTTGACTGCTAAACAATAGATCCCTCTAATCGTTTAACATATCTTAAGCTTGATGTTTTATGTAAGAGGTACTATACCACCAGATAAAAAAACAAAACTTTTTATCAAGCAATTTTTATTAATTTCGTTTCAAATCTTTTCAATTAAGTGATGTAATTTTTCAATATCTTTTTATTATTTTTATATCGCAGACGTGGATCATTATCTAACATTCAGAAAATATTTATTTAAACTATTCAAAGTGTAGATGAATAAAACTTATTTTAATAAATTTTTGCCTTAGACGTTAATTCCACCAAGCAAAAAATTAAAAAAAAACATTACAATATGTAGAGTGACACTTTTTAACTTTCTCATATACATACGTGTATACAGAGAAATATACGTGTATGGGGAAAGTTGTGTAATGCTACGGATAATAGATTTCGAAATATCAACGGAAACACACTTTTTGGGGTCCCCTGATACAACGTGTTTTATTTCAAAACATCCGGCCTTCTGTTTGGTATATGGAAACAACACTAGGCGCCTAAACCATGCATAGATTTTTTTCCAAATTGAAGAAACCCTTGATCATTTGGACTGAGTCAAAGCTCTGCCATTTTGAAAATCATTCATTAGTTTTTGGAGGTACTTTACATGAGGACCCCAGGACATTTTCATAATTTTCTCACAAATGGCTCAACATTTTTTCTTTAAATTTCTTGTAAGAATAGAGTAACATATAATTATAAATGTGGCATAGGTCTGATTTTTCACGGTTAACTGAATTTTCGAAAATTACAAAAGTTTGAATTTTTTTTGAGGTCTCCCTGCAACTACAAAATTGAAGATAGAGATCTTTCCTTCAAATAAAATTGGATGTCCATAATTAGTTTTTTAATTAAGGTTGTGTAAATATTATTGAAAATTTTAGTGTATTTTGTGCAATATTGGGACTGACATGTGAAATTTTAAAATATTACGAAAACAAGGTTTTCTCAAAAATGGTTCCAAATTTTTTCTACACACTTTTGGCAAGGATAGCGCTCGGATAGTGATGACATAAACGCCATACTGCTCTATTCTTTTGTTTTTTCAAAAATTCCAAAAATGTAATTTTTCTCGACTTGTGTCTCATGTTGTTAATATTTATATTAGCGGCAATTTGTTCTCATTATTGTATTTATGAGTACATGTGCTTTAAATAATGTCACATAATGTTTCTTGAAAACTCTGTGGTTTTCTGTCAAAACCAGCTCAAAATTCCGTGTTTTCAGAAACATTTACACACTATTTTCCCAAAAACAGCTCCAAAGTTTTTCTTCATAGTTTTCAAAAACATAGTGCCAAATGCACTCTTTAATATGACGTACAGTTCATTTCAGAATATTTTCTTGTTTCTCCAAAAGTTACGTTTGTGAGATAAAGTACTTAAAATGAAATTTTTCGAAAACTCAAAAACTTCCTGTGAAAAGGAGCTTCAAATTCCGAATTTACAGTACTACAATTTCTTAAAACAGCTGCAGATTTTTCAAAGAAAATTGCAATTTTGGACGAGATTTTACTGTACATTAGTCTTAATATAGTATTTCCATTCTATTATTAGGAATCCGAAAATTTAAGAGATGTTCTTTTAAAAATTTAATGTACTTTGAGTGGCGATAGATTGCATGTGGCAAGTTCGTATTGCTCGCTGAGACCAAAGGAAATAAAAAAAGTATTACAGGAAAGTGTGAGCCATTTTATGACACTGACTAATTGCAGGAGTTGCTACCATCTATTAAAGAAACATGAATACTAGGTGGTACTTAGAACAAATTCGTATTAGTCAATTAATTTCTGAATTCTCAGTAGTGAATATAGAACAAATTGTCAAAATCTAAACTTGTAATGCTTTAGAGAATTTATGGGGGGAAAAGTATCATAGAGTACACTTTTGAAAAAGAGAGTACGCAGGAGGATACTTTAAAAGAGAATGTATTTTTTAAGAGTACCTTGTATCCTTAAAAGGATATGTCTGGTAATCTATTTTATATAAACGTATGAAGTACTTCACTCATTAGATATTAAATACTCACATGGAAAGATTCAATTAGATGTAATACACGAGCTGCTGTGTATGTCTCAGGTGAAATACCTCTCTTGCGACGACCTGTCATTACAGGAGTACCTCCTGCAGCAGGAACAACAGGAGTAGCTCCAGTCATCATCAAAGCATTGGCATTGGCTTTTTCTTGAAGTTGTTGAATTAATTGCTGAAATTGAGATTTGTAAATATCTCTTCCTACATCTTCTATCAACCTTAAATGAATATTTGCTTTGGGAACTTTTTTCTACAAACCTTCACAAGTTTTATAAGGAAAACTGCAAATAAGAGGAAGCAAATAGTCATTAATGCACCATCCATCGATGGAAATCCCATTCCTTTTTCAGTTCTAGCTTGTCTATCTTCAACACTCCACAATCGTTTAATGCGAGGTTCTGTTGAAACATGTACCACATCATTCACATTTCACATATTGAACTTATGTTCTAAGGGCATTAACAAAAAATACCTACTTATATAGGAATACAACTTTGTTTGTAAATCTTGGAGAAATTTAATTTTCCCAGTCACTGTTATGGGAGTTCTATGCAGCAATGTCTGATGAACATTCTTTAGAATTTCAAGGAAACTATTAATCTTGCTTTCAGAATAAGTATTCTCCAAGCCAGTTCGGTCTGTTTTTTGGGAGTTGTTCATTACAGATAACAAAAACTTATGATCAATTTCAGTGATTGAGCTCTTTTCATCCATTTTGAAGCTTATAATAGAAGTATTTGGAGTAAACCAGCTCTCTTCAGAATTCATTTCATTTTGCACATTCTCTAAGATATGCTCTTCTCCTAATGGAATTTTTCCCCCATTATTGGGATCATTAGGATAGATTGAACTGGAAAGCTTTGTCACAGGTGCATAAGTACTAACTTTTAGGAAATTTGAGGAACTCGTAAGGGCAGAAAACTGGCTGGAAGGACCAGATGTTTCATGTTTTTGGGGATCCAGCACAGGTATTTTTACCCAGTCAGACATAACTCCAATTAGTAGAAAGATAAAAATACCACTTTTCAAAAGCATATTTGCGTACCTGCATAAAAAAATAATTTTATTAGATATTACAGGAGAAGAGGTGCAACTGTGCTTGAAAAGTTACCAAACTTCCAGTAGAAATATTTGTGCAAGTAGTGATAAGCCTGGCATTCTACCAAAATAAAATGTACTAAGTTAATTGCTTATTGCAGTGTTTTTGTAAGTTAGATCTTCAAGAGAAGGCAGAATTTGAAAAACTTATTTTTAATTAGCGACAAAAGTTTTAATTGTAAATGCAATAATGCACATTATGCATCTGCAATACTTACCACATTATTCCTGTCCACTTGTAGAGAGGTCTTTTGAACAGTCAGCCAGACAGGAATTAAGCTACCTTGTGCAGTAAGTGTGACATGGGACAGCAATTAGTTCAGGTTGCACTGAGGCCACTCACCTTGGAACTTAACATCAAGTTTTCATCCCAGGCAACTAAATTTATAATGCTTTTTACTATGTATGTGAAATAATGCTAGTTAATTAAGAAATTAAGCACTAATTATAAGCTCAAAATTATTTTTATTTCATATGTACAATCACAACAAAACCATAATAACAATAATACTAATTACACTCCATGTTTTAAAATTAACTTTTTTATGAAGATGGACACGCATGCATACACAGTACTACTTGCATTCAAAGAGAGAGGCATAGAATAGAAACTTGAAATGTGAATGCATTACATCGTAGTGGTAATTCTACATAATATGTTGAATATCAAAAAGCAAATGCAGTGCAAGTATAGTGGTATAAAAATGTGTGTGTATACATATGAAGCACTCTGACATCAATAAATGCTGAATATATAGTAGTACCTATACAGGATCAGTGAAAATGCTGAAGTGAAATTGTCCTTTCCATAATTCAAAGAGTTAAGAAGTAGAACAAATATTGTTGTATAAATGCACTTCAAACAAGGTGATTAGGGATGTAAATTTTGTACTGACAAATGCTGTACATCATAAATGCAATTAAATCTTTTAAAGTTTAAGTTTGTTCAATATGAAACTGAATAACTTCTTATTAGATAAAAATTAAATATATCCTTAAAAGAAATACAATAAAAATTACACTACCAGTTCTTTGGTTTTGGACGGAATCACACTAATTGGCATTTTATTAATGCAAGGAAGGCTATACGCAAAGTACTATAATATTATGAAGGTGATTCAGTTTTTCTCCAAATGGATAGTAGTCTGATTTCAGCTTAAAATTAGACTCCCAGTTCATAAGAATGTGGCAAGCAAACATATTCGGCATCAAACTGCTTGTCTATGAAGCAGTATGGAATGCAATAGTGAAAGAGAATGTATTTATGGTGAGGCTTACCATGCAAGTTTTGTAAATATGAAGTTAGTACAAAAGTCTTGAAAAATTGAAAATCACTACAACTATCACAATAATAGCACCGTAATCACTAATTGTCCTGAAAAAATTGTTAGGAATTATTTTTACAAGTCATTACATTAGAAAAGCAATATAAAGTTTAAAATATTCAGAATTCATTGAATATAATGCTATCAAGACTATAGTTTATCATCAACACTGCATACAATTTTATGCCAGATGTCACACACTGATATGATTACAAAGACAAGTTCAAAAGCACTCATTTCTGTGTGATATTAGGGCAATCCAAACGAAAGTGCTAAAAAATTGTGGCAAAAAATAATAGCTAAATAAATATGCAAGTTATTGAAAAAAACAATCCATAGTTATTTTCCAAAGTTATAAATCTGAGCTATTCAAATGCCTGGTCTGAATAGTTTACAAAATAGGTGGAACATTCAGAGTAGCACTTGGATTTTCTTCTGGTGATAAATTGGTTGATTCTGGACTTGCTTTTGGTGCCTGTAACAAGTATTGTTGTTTCTACACAGATAAGAAACTTAATTAACATTGCTGTATCACTGCAATTTTAAATGGAAAAAACAAAAAACTAATTCAGTATACTTAACGTTCATTATCCCAATTACTGATTTTTCTAATATGAAAGTGATTGTAGCTAACACACCTCTTCTTCAATTGGAGTCGCGCCTACAACAGTAATCTTCATAACCGTAAAATCAGCCAAGAAGCAGCATCTCACCATTAGCAGCATGGCTCCCAGAAGCCACCCAAACATGACACCCCATGTTCCGACCTGGAGAATGAAAACTGAACTCAATTCTCAAACAAAAAAAACTATTATACACGCACACATTTGACATGTCTGATTAAAAATTAAGTTTTTCCAAAAGTATACATTGGCAAATGCAGATCTCTTAACAGTGAATGCAACAACACAAACATGAAACTTATCGTTCTTACAAGAAAATCAGCACTTCATAAGAATAAATACTTAACAATATAAGTATTTAGAAAGAATTCAAAGAAAAAAACTGATAATTAACTATCTCAGTAATATGCAAGAACGTGGATGTAGTTTCTTTAATATAAAAACTGTTAATAATTTATTTAAACAAAATTAAACGTCACGTATTTCAAGAAAATAAAGCAAGTGTTGTTCAACTGAAATAAATAAATAAACAAACATTTACTAATTTTTACAACACACCCTCAAACTGCACAAATAAAGTTCTAAAACGTTTAAAGCCAATGCCCGATTTCTTTCACCACAGTAAATTAAAGTATATCTGTCAGTAGTATATTTTACAACTATGAGCTAATAATTCCATAAAAAATATATCTTAACAAAATATTTACAAAGCATGTTATTTTACAAAGAAAATTACTATATTTCAGCACTACTTTACAATGATGATTTACTTCAGGAGCAGAACTAATTAAATAAAATGTTGTAACTCAGAATTATCATTTAACAGTTATATTTCTTTAGTTTTTACTTTTAAAGATAAGAACATTACTATTGATAGAACTGCAAGAACATGTTTAGTTAAAATTGCAATTGAAGGTTCAGCACAATATTAACATATCATACTTGTTTTCCTGTAACTAGCTTCCTTTTATTTTTAATACGCGTTAGTTTTTACTAATATTGTTACAAAAGTCAATAGTGTATTCATATTGAGAAAAATTTACATCAGCAAAACTTTTTATTTCATCACAACTGTTTTTAGCAAACATGATGAATCTGCTTTGTTAAAATCATGTAACCATTTATTGCAGGAAATGATTTCCATTCATATTAAAAACTATTTACAAAACTACACTCACCCTTGTCAAAGTGATGTATGTCACAGTTTCCTTCCCACTAGTTTCATGTAAGGAATAATCTTGCAGATCATTACAACTGAACAATCAATACAATTTACATTACTATAACTTAATAAGCAAAATTAATTAAAACAAATAAAAACTACACATTAGCATACACATGCATTTGTACACATTATATACACATTTATGTACAAAGTATATTTAATACTGAAAGTTAAAAAATTACTTCTGTTTACTGTTGTTTTCCATAAATGCTTTGCAGAATTTACCATAACCTTCTTCAAGCCATACCACTGATACCAATGAAAATAAGAAATATGCAACATTGAATAGCATGGCAGGGTACACAATTCGCCAAGGTTGTGGAAGGCTGTAACATAAATATAGTTTTATAATAATAAACCCGGAAATGCCCAACATCCAAATCAAAGCAAAAAGTTTTTTTTTTTCTTTTTTTTTCTCTTCTTTCTTTACCCGTGGTCAGATCTGCCTCCTCTTCCACACATTGTAAAAAATGTCAACCAGATGGCTCCAAAAAGTACAGAGCAGACAGAAACATACTGGCAATATGAGCAATATGTATCTTTTCCAAATTGCGAAATTTCTTTATTTACGTCTGATCCTTTGGTTTCGTCATAACCCCCGCGAGTGATGAATGTTACGTTGCTATATAAAAAGCAATCATCATCAAAACTGTAATTGATCCTGGTCCAACAGAAACCAGCAAGAACACCGAAAACTGTAGCGAGGAAATAAATTAGTATTTGGAAATATTTCCATCCGAGAAATACGTTCTGCCATCGTTTCTCATATAAGGTAATATACTGCTCCAAAAGTACCATGTTTTAATTTCAAAGCGTTTTACATTACTATTCGCAAATACATTATATACTATCGTTGTCTCTTAACAGTAACTACATTCACGTGCCAACAACACTGAAACGTCAAATAGACATGCGTGACTGGAATGTGGGAGGGGCTCCCAGCTAGCCGCAATGCGTTTCCTTGATTCCCTAGAAGTAACACAAATGTACGAACATAATTCTAACAAATTCAGAAAGTGCACAAACTGTTCGTTGCACAAAACAGAAATACTAAACCTTTGCTTCTTTATTCACGATGCACTACTGACAAATGTGTGTAGCCTATGAAGCGTGCTATAAACAACGATCGACCACGCCCCCATGCGGCGGGTCATCGCGCTGTCCTTGCAGGATTTGGCAATTTGGGTTTGACGCAATTGGTTTGGTCCTAGGGACATCCTATAAAGGACATAATTCCATTCTCTATTTAATTCTGTTTCTATTTCTATTTTTGATTCCAGGCGCAAAATCTTACTTCCAGAGCTTGAAATTTATTCCACGGAATTGACAATCAGGTAATATTATCAGCTGATCTTTCATTTGTTTACTCTTAAATGATGTAATACCTCTGCACGCACAGTGGCAGTGACCTACGTACACTTCAAGTGCCGGGGAACGTGTATTGCGACGAAGGTTACGCATTTAATTAACATAACCCCCCAAAAAGAAACAATGACAATTAAAAATGTTATTATTTTCGGAGCAAGTGGACAGATAGGAGTGAAAGCTTGTACGAAGGCCGTAAATCAAGGTATGATTAATTGTTGTTCTTTTTTATGTGAAAGTCGCATATGTGCTAGTTGTGGCACATTACAATGTTTATACATATGCGAAACATGAATGAGGAATATAAAAGTATTTTTCTAATATTGGTAGCATTTACCTGCGTATAATTAAGTTCATTTTGCTTTCATTTGCATAACATCTTTTATAAATAAGGTCTTAATGTTCGAGCATTCTCGAGGGATTCATCTCAGTACCCTAAAGAAATAAAAGAAAAGGTAGTGATTGTGGAAGGTGATGTAACTAATAGAGAAGATGTGAAATCTGCCATTGAAGGACAAGATGCTGTCATTGTGACATTAGGGACAAGAAATGATTTAGGTAAGAAATAAATATTGTTTGGTAGTAAGCTGTCTGTAGGCAGACATTTAAATTTTTACCCTTTGTTTTAGCTCCGACCACTGTTATGTCAAAAGGGATGCAGAACATTATTGAGGCAATGAAATTCCATGGAATAAATATTGTTTCCGTGTGTATATCAGGTACTGCTTGTCTAAAATTGCTTATTACTCATATTTAGTATTGACTTTCTCTGAGAGTTTTGTGACAATGAATTCACACATTTTCATTATAATTTGAAATAAGTGACTGTGAATAAGGGAATACATAGCAATTTTGAAACTTTAATTCTGTACTTGAAAGTTAAGTTTTTCTGTGTTGGACATCTTTTGCTTAATTTTTTTAGCTTTATCCAATAGTCTCAATTTGTAGTTAATCAAATCAGTCTGATCCCCATTTCATTTGGATAATTGGAGTTCCACTGGTAATTATTGACCAGGTTTTTAATTAAATATGATAATCTCTAGCTCAAAAAATTTCTATTCTCAAATTAATATCATTAGAACAATGGTATTAAATTTTATTTTATTAATTTGCCTACATTTTATGAAACAGAAAGAACCATCACCTACTTATTTCTTACAGAACAACTTCTTATATAATTTCAATTAATACTGAAAAAATATTTTTGGGTGTTGATTGTATAGAAGCATTAACATCTGATTTAAAGGTTCATAATTTTAAGAGTTTTCCATTATGTATCTATTTATAATTTCATTATATTATTTAATTCATTTGCTGGTGTGTTCATAGCATTCTTATTCTTTGAACCTGAAAAAGTGCCAAGCATATTTCAAGGTGTTACTGATGACCACAAACGTATGTTTAATTTGCTGAAAGATAGTGGTCTGAATTGGATTGCTGTGTTTCCTCCTCATTTCACTGGTATGTGTAAATTAGTTACCCTGGCCTTTACAGTTGTGTTTGTGAATATTGACTTGTACAATGACTGTTTTAGATGCAACTTCTTCAAAGTACCTTGTGAAGCATGGTGGTTTGCCTGCAGGGAGAAGTGTGTCAAAGGAAGCATTAGGATCTTTTATGATAGACTGTCTGTCACAAAATGAACATTATCAGAAAGTATGTGGGATATCTCAGGATGAGCTTGAACATCCCAAATCTTAAGTATAACCAAAGATTGGCAAAAAATATAAGAATTTAATAAAGGAATGAAGTATCTGGAAGAGAAAATATTTACATGTGGAAGACTGCTTAACTTGATCATTTTTATTGAAGTATTTTTGTTTGAAGATAATAAAGTACAAAATACAAGCTTACTCTGCAATATGAACTAATATTTTTTTAAAATAAGTTTTCCTATTTAAAATTTTAAAGTGTGTCTTAAGATCTTTACCCTCTGGTCTTCTGATTGGGGATGGAAGGGGTGGAGGAGGAGGTATTGTTGAAGGAAATACTGAACAATCTGAAATGGTCCTAGATAGAGGAATCCTTTCCATAGTGAAAGGTTCTTTTTTAATATTACCAACACAAGTTTCTGTCTTTTCATTGGAATATAGTCCTAAGCAACCGTATATTGAGACTGGAGCACATTCTGAATATCCAAGTTTTTTGTAAAAATCTTGCTGGTCAATAGTAGACAAATATGCAGTATTGATACCCTGACTGAAAAAAAAGAAGAAAAAAATAAGTTAGCTTCCAGTTTTAATAAATTTTATTTATATTTTATTAGACACATCACCTTGCAGCATATTTCTCAGTTTCTGACATGATTAATCTGCCCAGTCCTTTTCCTCTATAATCAGGATGAATGACAACTGTAAGCACAATACAAATTATAAAAAGGAATTATTTATATAGGTAGCACAAATAAATTATGGTTGCACCCACCAGATTCAACAAAACAAGCTCCAGGCATGCTCCCTATTGCAGATACTTTACTATGTCCCAAGACCTTACTCTCTGCTACTAATGCCAGGCAAGTAGGTAAAGTATCACAAGACATTTTCAGTGTCCTCATTCTGTAGGGCGAGACAATACATGACAAAGACGACAAAAATTAACAATTAAAACCAATATAGCTGTACTTACCTTGCCGTTTTACTTCGAGGCCATTCCATGTTTATCAAATCACAACATTCATCCAGAAGAGAAGGATGATTATGAATCAAAACTACATGCATTGTCTTAACAAAATCCTTTTCCCGCTCTGTCGCTTCCAACATTATTTAAATTGATATGATTAAATGATCGCACACGCTCCTTTCTGGATACTTGTATTAAAAATAGAAAACAGAGGATAAACAGATAGTGATAGACACAAACGCACATGGCCTATATTAGTCCACGCATACACGAGTTGTTCAAACGATCAAAACGCTATCGCATGTAGCACTTACTATACTTTCGGAGTTTATTTCACTGAAAGTGCTACTTACAATGTATTAAGCTAAGACTTGGTGGAATCAACTTATGGTACGACAAAAAATTGAATTGCTTTGAAAGTGAACTGCTATGACCAAATACATTATTATGGGTAATCCGGGATTGTTTTAATCTTCGGAGATTAGGCATTTCGGTGTTCATTGTAGTGATTATCCAAGGAGACAAATCACGGTGAGAGTTACACATTTCTTACACTGTGGAACCAATCACCAATTCTGGAATACTATCTGTGGCGTCGCCAAGCGGGCAAGTCGTTGAACCATTGATAAACACGTCAGTACCTCCTAGATAGTACATGATTTAGGTGGCATTGCACAATGCACACATTCATCCATGGCACTATTAAAAAAACACCATGATATACTGTTGACCATGAAGGTAAAACCTTGATGAATATACTCTTTTACCATGATGGTAAAACTGTAGTACGTTTTTTTTAGGCCTGCGTCTGGTAGTATCAACCACTGTAAAATACTCTCAGGTATCAACAGTGTTGATGGTTCGCGGAGCAGTACATTTGTGCAGTTCTGTGAACGCACTTAAAGTGCAATGCGCGTTCACGTCACGCCACCGCGGTGGGGCCATTCCTACCCTTACGGGCATCTATGGCCTATCCTGTAACATAAGAGAAAAAACAAAGGTCAAAAAAGACTTTAGCCTACCGGCGCGCGCATTGCGTGTTTTGTAATACTATGTTTATGCCCCAATCCCACTTCTCTGTTTCAGATTGCTCTTACTCCAGAAAGTGTTTCGGTTGCCTATACTTCGCCCTTAGATCGGGTTCGTATGAGGCGATCGCGGAAATGAGTTCATTTTCCGAGTCAGCTGCTTTTTCAAAAAAGTTTTTAGCTAAAGTTTTTAAGTGTTTTTTTAGCAGTGGCACTGATGCTTCGCGATGTAGTTTCTATACGAGTGTATCTAGGGGCGCAGAGGGTGGCCCTGAGACACTCGTTTTGAATGTTGATGGTTTCATCTGATCGGGAGCTTATATATTGCTACAATGATGTCACTATGCTAATGTTCAGGGTAGGGAAACTTGGCGGTCAAAACGGGGTAATGATTTTTGCGCCATCTACACAGGTGCCGACGTGAGCCGAACTAAACATGTGCAGCCCTACCAATAAACGTGGTGAACATTTTATCTGTGCTTAAGTCCTGAATAGCAGGAGAATAGCGAAAACTCCTACCAATAAACATGGACTAAACTCGAGCGCGTAATAAGTGAGGTGTAGTTTCCATGGCAACCGCTAAACCTCGAGAACAGTAGTTTAAGTGTGGAATAAGGAAAAATCGCGACTGAAAACAAGCGCTTTGCAATAGTCATTTGTCTTCCAGTTTGTGTCCAGCTGTTCGTGCGTGTGTTTCGTGGTTTCTTTTCAGTCTTTTCATCGACCTTTGCTTTCGTTTTTTGGTACTTTCTCCGGGCTATTTATTGATTGGCTGCTCTGATTGGAACTGTGATTTTTTTTCTGACTTTCTTGTGAACGATGTCTATTCGAGATGTAGAAAGTGTGGAAGAAGTTGTGTTTATGGCACGAAATCTTCGATTGTGAACAACCGAGGAGGAAAGAAGAAGAGTTACGGGCACGTGTGAGTCCTTTGGAGATGTATTCTGATGCAGATTCCGCAGGAAATACAGATTTTCTAAAGAAGGACAATAAAATTAATAGACTTGTTCGGGAACAGTTAAAATCTGACGGAAGGGGAGGGAAACTTTCTTCCAGATCTTCAATTTTTAACTGCTCTTCGCTCCTGGGGAAGAAATCAAGTGCAAGACGATTCTGCTGACTTGCATGGGATAAGTCCAATCTATTACTAATGTGTGCCGTAGAGTGGCACTGTCCATTGGTCGAAAAGAGGCAGATGTATATACGAATGCCTAAAATTTAGACTAAGAGGTGCAGAAAAATCAACAGTTTTCTAATATTTGTGGGTTCAAAAGTGTGATTGGGTGCATTGATTGCACTCACATCCGCATCCCACATGTACAAGGCAATGAAGGGCACTATTATATTAATAGGAAGAATTTCCCATCATTAAATGTAACAAGTTGTGTGTGATGCTTCATTGAAGATAATGGACATTGGTGGCAAGATGGTACGGGAGTGCACGATGATTCCGCGAATATTTAATGAATCTGCGTTGAAATTGAAATTTGAAGGTGGACAAATTTCATGGGAGGCTTTTGGGAGATTCTGGGTATGCGTGCACATCTTACTTATTCACCCCAGTGTTGAGGCCCAGGTCAAGAAAGGAGGTGCGCTACAATGCAAAGCATGTGCGCACAAGGAACTCTGTGGAGAGATGTTTTGGTGTGCTGAAAAGCCGATTTCGTTGTCTCCAACAGGCTTTAGAAACTCCCTCGAAAATATAAAGCTATATATATGTGGCACTCGCAATAGTGACGTCATGCAATTCAAAACGCTGGCAATGTAGGCGGTGTTTGTTTTTCGTTACGTGCGCAGGCTGCAAGCAGGTAGGTGCTCCTTTTTATCGAATTTTTTCAGAATTTTTGTTATTATGTAGAATGTCGTGCATTGTATAGAGTGAATTGTGTCGCTATATTCTTTTCATGTCTAAAAACTGCGTTTTCAGTATTTTGGAAGATGATATTAAGAAAACTTGTGCTAGACAAGTGCATCACTAGGATTTTCGCCTACGCAGCGGTGGAGGTATTTATAATTCATTTTGGAACTTGTTGCTTAATTGTAATTGGATTATTTCATTTGTGAACATTTACACTACGCAAAATTTCTTAAAAATCCGTAAATCAGTGTAGTATAACCTAACCTGTACATGTCATTTTATTCTGTTCTATTTGTTTAAAAGTATTGTAATTAAATTATTTCGTATGGTATTGGACAAGTTTTTGTAATATGTCCATTGTATATCCATATATCTATTGTTTGCAATACTCTGGTATTAAATGTCTAATTTTCAAATATACATAATTCATTATTGTTTGCATTTCTAGAATAGGTACCACCTTCATTAGTGGTTGATGAAAATGTAATTAATTTTATTTGCTTAGGTGTAAGAGTTACGTTTCCATTTCTGGTGGTGATCATCGAGTTGCAGTATGATAACTGGGCATATAAACGAATTTGACCTACTAACATTAGAAGAGTAATTGTATCAACAGTGTTTCCTACAAGCCCAGCCCTCTTGTCTTCTCAAAGAACATTTCAAGAAAATCTTATTACAATGTGTGCCAGTGAAATCTTTTTTTTATCTTGATGCTGCAAGTGCTGCTAGTCTTGATATTGTAGACAAATATATTATTTCAGCAATATATATTTCAAATAATAATTGCCTTGTTTAGTAAAACTTGCCTAACAAGCACTGGAAATATATTAACAAATTACCAAAACAATTTTGAATGTGAACAATTAAACAACAATGTTTTCGAATGTGTAATAAACGAACTGTGTGTAATAAATAATGTACTCTAAATATCTAATGTTTATTTTAAAAATATTAAGATAGGTATAATACTTTTTTGGATATTTGACATACTTCTGTGCTAAAAAAGGTTAATATATTATAGATGATTTTCAATTAAATGTAGCCAAATTTGAATTGGTAAATGAAACATCTGAACAATAAATCCTGTAATAATATTATTGATATTATAGTAAAAATCTAATCCAATTTTTCTACATACACCGTCAAAATTCTGTCATCCGTAACAATTCAGTATTGCTCTGCCCGTGTAGGTTTCAATGAGGATAGTTTGTGTGTGGACTTTGTGGAAATATTGTCATGATGTGCAGTAACCAATCAGATAGCTATAGAAAATTTAAAAAATCTTGTATTGCAGCCTAAACAGAAATCTGTGCCAATTGTTCATTTTAAAGTTAAGATTGCCTTAAACTAGGGAGAAACTGGCCAAATTAAAATTGTTATATCTTCCACAAATTTTCATTTCATAAGATTTTTTTTTGTAAACAATACAAATTCCCTCTTTCATCCCAGAACACTAAGCACATTTACTGGTATGTTGTACCAGTAAATGTGCTTAGTGTTCTGGGATGAAAGATGAAATCTTATGAAATGAAAATTTGTGGAAGATATAACAATTTTAATTTGCTATTGATTGGTTACTGCACATCATGACAATATTTCCACGAAGTCCACACACAAACTATCCTCATTGAAACCTACACATTAATGTTTTTAACTAAATAAATCGAAATATATATCAAAATAAAAGTTTGTTTCCCCCCTCTACAAATCCTTGAAATATTTTGATAACTTGCTGTTATATGTCTGATGTGGATTATCAATAGCAGAATGTCTAGCATTGAGTAGTAACAGAAACTTGGATTAGTGCCTCCCATGGAGTTAATTTATTTTACAAATATTTTTTATTTATTTTCCTGTGTAATAGAACTTGTAAAACAGGTGTAGTGGGGTACGCGGTTAAGAGTGACAAGTTGGACAAAAATTGGAACTTTCATGCACTTAATTAAATAGAGCAGAATAACTTATAACTTTTCTGCTATAAGCAGCATTCGTAGGGCTGTGTAATAAATGAGAAAATGACGCTTGAGTGAAGCGTGTTAGACGCACGTATTAAATGAAATCATTTAGTACGAGGCGGCTGTATAGCAGATGCCACCCAGCTATTCCAAAGTAACGTGACTCGGGCGCGAGAGATGTTGATACCCAGCCAGGCCTTCTGCGCAGCCTGGCGCGCACTCTAGTTGTATCTCTCCTCTATGCCGCGGTCGATCTGGCTCGACTCAAAGCGCAACCATTTTGAAAAACATACATTAAAATTTAGGAGTACTTTATATGAAGTCCCTTGGACATTTTCCAAATTACCTTCAAAATGGCTGAAACTTTTTCAATAACTTTTAAATTAATACTGTAGACGCACTTATAAAGGTGGCATCGGTCCGATTTCACATTTAACTCCGGATTTTTTGAAAACATTTAAATATTTTCCGACGTCTTTCTACAACTACAAAATTGCAGATTTTTCCTTCAAATTAAATTTGTTCTCCATAGTTCGGTTGATCAGGAGTTTACGGCGGCACCGGTAACTTTGGTTCACTGATTCGATTCAGTATTTCTCGTTATTCACAAGATTATAGTTGTGCGTTTCGATCACAAGAGAATAATTTTGTTGGCATTGATTCACAGCATAAATATACATACACAATTTGACTATGCCATATAAAGCTATACATTTTGCTATTACAAAACATTTTTTCTTCATGGCACATTTTAAATTTCAATTCACATCTAAAATTACACTTCACAATAAAAAAAAGTTTAAGTAGAAAGTGTTTGTGAAATATACTGCAAATTCTACAGCGTATGAAAAAGTGTTAAGTAGATAAGGTACTTGTTTTAGTAATAAAATATTGACTTTGAGTAGTAATACTAATTTAAGTAGCATGCGAGTGTTAAATAGAAATTATAATTATTGCGATAACATGCTGAACATTATAACACACGAATAGCAAACAAGGATTCAGTTCAGTGAGTCAATTTTCCTCTAGTGAACCGGATC